CCCGCCCCTCCACCAGCCACACCCTCCTCCAGGCCACGCCCCTCGCAGCCACGCCCCTCTTCCCAGCGGCCCTCCCACCGACCTGGTCGATCCAGAGCTTGCCCACGATGATGTTATGGACAGTCGAGGTGCTCTTCCTCCACACGTAGTGATTCCCACTCTCCTGGAATTCTAGGTGGATGGCACCTGGATGGGGGGGTCAGAGGTCACGGTGCCTCCCTGTCTGGGCCTCTGGCCAATCCACCCACAGGCCCAGGGTGGGAACCAGAGAAATACCCATGCAGACTGGTGCCAGAGCACAGGTGGGGAGGCTGTGGGTACTGGAGTGGGCGGAGGGGCAGACCTGCACCTCGGTCTCCCCTGGGAGCCCCAGGCCAGCTTTGGCGGGGGCAGAGCTCCCAGTGGGCCCCCCGTCCCAGCTCACCCAGCGGCATGATGGAGATGTATTTGCCCCGGAACTTGCTGGCGATGGTGATCTCCTGCCAGAGGCTCCAGCCGTTCTTGGAGAACACGTAATGGGCCGCGGAGGGTGGGTGGTGGCTCACCTAGGGCCAGACCACACGACGATGTGAGCTTGGCTGGACGGGAAGTCACCCACCTTCCCAGCTAGGGGCCCAGCTTCCTCTGGGGCCCAGGGGTGGCAGGGTCCAATGGCAAAACAGCGCGATATGGGGGCCGCAGCCCTGCCCAGCCCACCCAGTGAGAGGAGCTGTAGCTGAGTGTGGCTCTGGAAGTGGGAAGGGGTGGAGTGGGTGGGAGCACACCCCAAGCTGTGCTGGGGGTGCTGTTGCGGTGTCCCTTCCTCACCAAGTCCTCACCATGGGCGGGGAAGGCCCGTGTTGGTTGCACTCAGTCAGTCCGGGGACTTCCTCTCCTGTCCCCACCCTGGGCTGCCCTTCCGCAGCATGGGCGCCCCACTAACCCCACTTCCTGGACACCTGCCCTCGCCTGTCTCAACTCTCCACAGCTTTTCCTCACTCCACAACACGGGCTCTGCGGGCCCACCTCACTCCCTCGGACACCCCGAGGTTTTGTGGCCTTTGCCAGGCAGCATGCCCAGCCTCGCCCTGAGCCCCACCGTGGCCACTGTTGTAGGACTAGTGTCCTGTCTGGTGAGTGGTCTCCTCACCCACCCCCAGGCTTTGAAAGTATAGCCCCCCCCCCGCCAGTCCTCCATGTGATGGCTGTGCTGTCCCTGAGCCCAGCGGCTGGTCACCAGTGGTTTGGTGGTCGGTCACAGGCCGGAGGGGCAGCGCAGGGCCAGCCCGGGGGGCGCTCACTTGTTCGCAGAGGGAGCGCAGGCCCATGTCCTCGAGGCGGTCCAGCTCAAAGGTCTCCCCCAGCATGGGGTTGAAGGGCTTGGCGATGCGGTGCACCGTGGTGGAGTAGGAGGACACAGAGAAGGCGGCCACCAGGCACATCTGCTCCACCGAGCTGGTGCAGTGCACCGCCTTGTCCAGCAGGTGGTGGTACTCCAGGTCCTCTGTCAGCCGCTGGAGCATGGACAGGGGCTCATTGAAGTTCACCTGCCCATGTGGGGGGAGGGGGAGGCGGGTGGGAGGGGAGAGGGTGGGTGGTCAGCCCAGAAGCTGGCCCCTGAGTCACCACAGCACCCTTGCTCTTCTCACACTGTGAGAAGAGCCCCCCCCCCCGCTTCCCTCCTCACTTTCTGCCATGCTATGCTCTGATGACATTTACTCCCCCCCGCCTACCCGCACCAGTATGTAAACTGTAGCCAGGCAGGTGTAGGGCCATCAGGATGGAGGGACAAGCACTGGCTCAGCCATCCATAGTGGAGGCGGGGGTTTTCTTCAGATTCTGAGCTGTGGTTTTCTTTTGAGGGCCGCAGTGCAGAGGCCTGCACAAGATGGGTGGGGTGGGCCTCAGGCAAGCACCCCCCAGCCCCCTCCAATCTTCACTATAAGTCTTTCTTGTGCTACCTAGCACGATACCCCAGATTCTCGGCAGGGGGCGCTGTGGCTCCACTGTGAGATCTGGACACAGGCCAGAGGTAGGAAGGGCTTCAGGAGTCCTACAGTGGAGCTGTCTGGCCTGGAATCCTCAAGCCCGTTCCTGGAGGAGAGGCCACTGCAGCCTGGAGACACAAGGACCCCCAGCTCTGCCCTTGGACCTTTGTGTGACCTTGCTTGAGCCTTTATTTCCGGGTGCGGATATCAGGAACGACCTCTGGTATGAGGGAGAATTTCCCCTCCATTAGCAAAACCCCCTCCCACCACTTTCCATCCACCCAAGGCCAGGACAGCTGGGACCTGGCGCGGCCTCGTCTGGTCCAGAGTCACTCCCTGTCTCCCTCCTGCTATCTGGGGGTTTGGTTGATGAACACCTTGTTCCTCGGGTGCCATGAAGGAAATGACACCCCAGGGTGGGGGGCACCCAGGTCCCAGCCCGGAGGGCCCCAGGTCTGCCGCGCGCGCACCGGCATTGGGATCCTGGAGAGCTCACGGCCGATGCAGTTCTTCATGATGCTCCAGAGGTTAAGGCTGTAGTTGGGCTTGTCGGGGATGCGGGCGCGCCTCTTGACTTTGGATGAACCCTTGGGTTCAGTCGAGGCACTGCCTAACACCTGCCAGAGAAGCAGGACACGCCTCTCAGCAGAGGCCCCAGCTCACCCCGGACCTTACCGGCATCAGAGCTCACACACTGCTTGCGGGAAGAGCAGGTTGGCTCTGCCTGTCTGTGGCCTGGGAGGCAGATGGGGGTGTGGAGAGGGCCAGGGAGTGGGGGACGTACCCTGGGGACTCTGTGCCTAGAGGACCGCCCCCCCCCAGCTTCTGCCCCATGCTGCCTCTCGGCTGGTCTCCCACACTCACATTGTCTGACGAGGTCCAGTCCACGGAGCCTAACACAGGTCCCTCTTCTGTTTTTCTGCAGGACACCAAGGGGGAAGGCAGGTCAGAGATAGCCGGCTGTCCTGGTACCCCGCCCACCTTCTTGGCAGGCTTCTCTGAGGGCCCCAGGCAGTGATTCAGACTCAGCCCAGCCCGTGTGTGCAGCCCCTGTGCCCAGCCTCTCCTGGGGACCATGACACAGGACTAGGAAGAGGTGGGGGGACGGCCATCACCCTATGAAAGACTTGTAGCTCTCACAGAGTGGGGCCCCAATGGGCCCCTTTCTGTCTCCAACACACATTACATGACCTTTCAGTATGGACATCTGACTCGCACGCCAGATAGGCTCCTGGGGGCAGGAAATGGGTCACCTACATCCCTGTGTTCTGCTGGGGGCTCACACCTGTAATCCTAACCACTCAGGAGGCTGAGATCTGAGCAGCCTGTGAGATTCTTATCTCTAATTAATCACCAAAAAGCTGGAAGTGGAGCTGTGGCTCAAGTGGTAGAGTACTAGCCTTGAGCAAAAAAGCTCAGGGACAGCACCTAGGCCCTGAGTTCAAGTCTGAGAACGTGTGTGTGTGTGTGTGTGTGTGTGTGTGTGTGTGTGTGTGTCCTCACACTTGTTGCACAGATGGCCACAGCAGCAGGGGACACCACGGCCAAGGGGTCAGCAGGCCCTATGGGGGCCTTGAATGGCAATCAGCTCAGCCCTTGGTGGCCAGGAGCTACTTGGAAGATTGGAGGAGCCCAGACCTGGGGGTTTCTGGTGTGGAGGGGTGGGCAGGGGCATCCTGGCTTCAGAGCCATGAGCGGAAGGAAGCTGGGGAGGCAGGACAGACAGGCTGCAGTTTAAATATGCTACTGAGAGGTAGGAAATGGTCCCAAGCTGGAGTTGCAGGGCTGACGGAAGGGGAAGGACTAGCAGGTGCGTCCATGGAGACTCCAGCCCCAAGGAAGCAGTGGCTGTGTCCAGCCCGGTTTTAGATTTTCCCTCTGTACCACATCCAGAAAACGGACAATGTGTTTACTGCCAGCAAGTGCCCTAAGAGGTTGTATTTGAGTGGATGAGAAACATTCTGAAAGAAAGAACAGTTTTTTTTTTCTTTCTTTCCAGTACTGGAGTTTGAACTAAGGGCCTGTGCTCTATTACTTGAACCATGCCCTCTTTTTTAATTCTTTTCTTTGTTTGTTGTGGGGCTTGAACTTGGCCTGGGTGTTGTCCCTGAGTTTTTCTGCTCAAGGCTAGTGCTCTACCACTTTGAGCCACAGCTCCACTTCTAGTTTTCAGGTGGTTAGTTGGAGATAAGAGTTTCACAGACTTTCCTGATTGAGTTGGCTTCAAATCATGATCCTCAGCCTCCTGAGTAGTTAAGATTTCAGGTTTGAGCCATCAGCATCTGGCCTGAATTAGTTATTTTCAAGCCTAGGGTGGCCTGGACTTCAATCCTCCTACTGTGCTTTCCCTGTTAACAGAAATGTGCCACCTTGCCCAGCCACTGGCTGAGATGGACTCTTGTGAACTTTATTTATTTTTTTGGTGCCAGCTCTGGGGCTCGAACTCGGGGCCTTGAACTCAAGGCCTGAGCCTCTCTGTGCTCAAGGCTAGCACTCAACCACAGTGCCACTTCTGGCTTTTTCTAAGTAAGTTCATTGGAGATAAGAAAAGATTCTCACAGGCTTTTCTGCCCAGGCTGGCTTCAAACTGTGATCCTCAGATCTCAGTCTCCTGAGTAGCTAAGATTACAGGCATGTGCCACCAGTCCTTTGTGAACTTCTTTTTGCGTGGGCTGGCCTCCAATCTTGATTCCCTGATTTCAGCCTTCCAGGAAGTTATCATTACAGGCTTGGGGATCACACTTTTTATAAATAATGGAAGGCAAATAAAAAAGAACCCCTTAACATTGTGGATGGGACTAGCTGTGGGATCTTCAACTGCTCTGAGAAGAAAATGAGCAGTTGGCACCTGCTGGGTTTCCCCATATCCCACATGGCAGCAGTGAGTGCCCATTCTCAATAGAAGGGCAAGTTTTTGGCTGTGCTGGGGTCTGAACTCAGGGTCTATGCTTCCCGTAGGTGCACTAACATTTAGGCCCCTTCCCCAGCTCTATTTTTCAGATGCATTTTTGCATAAGGCCAGCCTCAGCCTGCAGTCCTCCTACCTAAACCTCTGAGTGGGATTACAGCTGGGAGAATAGAATCTAAGCCCCCACTCCACCTGGAACAGACTTAAAGCCTGAAGAACATAGCTGGCCAATGGACCAAATGGAGAGAACCAAGTGGGTTCAAAGCTGACCCTCGGGATGGGTCGCACCTCCCGTCCCCACCCGCAGAGGCCCACCTGTCTTCCTTGGACTCTGTGATCACAGTGATGAAGGACGTGGAGTCTTCCATGGCATCGAAGTACTCGGTATCTTCATCTTCCTCACTGTCCTCTCCTTTAGTGTTCAAGAGGCTTCCTAAAAACACACAGAGTCCCCGGCCCAATTTACTATCTCAGAAAGGAAGATGAGAGCCCAGGACATCCAGGCCTTTGCCCGCCCCGACCGCCCCTCCCCACAAGCCTGGACTTGTACATGCTAGCTCTCATTCCCTTCTTCCTTTCAACACACAGCTGCTCTGATCCCTCCTCCTGGAAGCCTTCCCTGATCTCCTGACATGGTGGACCTGTCTGAGGCCCAGCTTCCTTTCCTGACAGAACCCTGTCCAGGGTGCCTGTAACCTTTAGCCTGCCACAGAGTAGACTGATGGGCTAACTGAGCTTCGGAGAATTGGAACCAAAGCATGGGACACATCCACCAGCATTGAGAGGCAGGCTGAGGTTGGCCAGGCAAGCTCTGTGTGTGTGTGTGTGTGTGTGTGTGTGTGTGTGTGTGTGTGTGTGTAAACTGGGGTCCACAATGAACTGTAAGCAAATCTGGTGGGCAGAGGGAGGCTGAGGGTAGAGGATGGCCTCCTGAGGCCCCTGAGGCCATGCTTACCCTGGCTGAAGCTCTGAGTGGGGTCGGTGGTCCGGCCGGGGGCGCTACGGAAGGCTCGCTCGAGGCTGTTGTGCTGCTTGGCCAGTTGCTCGATGGTCTCCTCCAGGTGGACCCGCTGCTCCTGCTCATACTGCAGGGCCCGCTGCCATTTCCGGCTGTGTGTCTCCGCTAGTTCCAGGAAGTCCCTGCAGGCCTGCAAGGGACCAATCCAGGCCATTACTGCCTGTCCTCTACAGCCCCCTGAAGCACTGCCTCCTCCTCACGCGATGCCAGGCCTCTTGAGAAGCAGAGATTGGTCATTGTGCCTCTGTCCCCAGAAACCAGGCCTGGGCCCTAGCCAGTCCTGGAGAGCATGAAGTCCAAGCCAGGAAGTCCTAGCTTTGCCCTCTCTGGACACCTTCACCCAGTGGGAGGGGTCACATTTCCTCCATGGTTTCTGGCACCCCCCCGCAATGCCAGTCACCTTGAGCTCGCAGTCCAAAATTGGTCCAAAATTCGCCTCTGTGACAAAGACCCACCAGCCTCCGCACCAACAGCACATTATTGAGTTTGACCACTTTCTCTGATCGCTTTCTAACCCTCTTCCCCAGGGGTGCCCCAATACTCAAGGTGATGATCCCCCAAAAGAAAGAATATAAAATGTGCAATTGTTAGGACCAGGTCAAAATTAAGCAGATAGGGTATTGATTAGAGCAAGGAAGAAGGAAACGGAACTGGGACACACAAGTCCCAGGTAACCCAAGAAACAGGTACAGACCTAGGGAGGAGAACAACACTGTGGTCTGACAGTTACTGAAACTTGACCGTCTATATTGACTAAGAATAGGGCCAAATGTTACATTTCAAAGCTAAAGGCTTGAGTAGAGAGTTAAGCACCCGGGTGGCTGTTGGAAAGGATGGCCTGTCTGCCTCTAGGCCATTTGGGGAGCAAATCAGTGCTTCCCGCAGTTTGGGGAGGTCAGACATCATGGCCAATTGACTGATGGTGTTGGTGACTCCGTTCACTGATGGTGGGTTTGAGTCGCACCGGCCCTAGGAAGCTGGGATATTTCACTCAGCGGGTATTGAGATCCGGTCCTGGGGCTCAGACTGGTGGGGGTGAGTGGGATGGGGGGGTGTCCTGGGCTGCCCCCTGGAGAGAGGAAGGACAGGCTCCCCAGCCTGGAGGATGGCAGCCCCTCAGGGACCACCTGGTGGCCTAACTGGCTTGGTGATAAGGACCCCAGTCTGGGGCCTGAGAGGACTGCTGGCCATTACCCAGGCACTGTGTGTGTGTGTGTGTGTGTGAGAGAGAGAGAGAGAGAGAGAAAGGGGAGGGGAGGGGAGAGGAGAGTGTGTATTATGGAGCTTGGCCTCAGGGCCTGGGTGCTGTCCCTAAGCTTTTTTTTTTTTATCACTCAAGGCTGGAGCTCTACCACTGAAGCCATAGCTATTTCTGGCCATTTTTTAACTGAAGATAAGAGTCTCTCAGGTTTGCCTGCCCAGGATGGTTTGGACCCCGATCCTCAGGTCTCATCATCCTCCTGAGGATGACAAGCATGAGTGGTCAGCAGCTGGTTCTGCACCTCATGCCTTTTAACAGGCCCAACTCTGGACTGCTCCTTCCACCTCCTCTAATTCCTATGGTGGGGCAGAGCAAGGCTACTCTTAACCCTATGCTGAAGAGGCAGAGATGGGTCTGCTTTGCCCAAGGAAAGCAGCACAGCATTGTGGGAAAGGGCACATCATTAGGAGTTGGAAGAATGGCTCCAGCAAAGCCCCGGGGGCCCTGGCAGCCCAAGTCCTCGTGAACAGTAATGTCAGACAGTGTTCCCAGGCTGCTCTGTCTCAGCTGTGAATCGAACTTTCTCCATTAAGTTCACAAGGGAAGGGCATTCCCTCCATCCTCAGGTTGACAGTTCTCCTGCCCTCTCCCAAAGGCCTGGGTGTGAGGCCTGGCCACACCTAAGCAGAGATTCGTCCCGACCTGGCAGTGGCAGGGCGGTGGGAATGGGAGGGGGGAGGGAATCTCCTTATCTCATGCTCTTAACAGCTCGCAGGTGGGAGGGGCTGCATCCCTGCCATTGGCTCGTGGGCTATTCAGTCTGTAAATGTGGGGTCTGTATGGCTCCCCCAGGGTGGGGTGGACACCTCTCCAGCCAGTCACGCCTGGCTCCCAGACTGACTGTTGTTCCCTGGTGACCCAGAGCCCGGGCCTTTATCACCCTGCCTCCTGTGGTCTGCCTGCCCCCCACAACCCTATCCCCCCATCACATGAGGGAGGGGACCCCCATGATACACACAGCAAAACCTCCAGACCAGAAGACACCCAGGCTGGCCGGGCCAGTGGATACAAGAAGTGAAGATGGCGTATCCTCCCCCCTGGATGCTGAGAACATTCCAGACCCCACAGAGGCCCTGCTGGATAGGTGGACAGACACCTCCACCCCGCTCCAAGATGGTGGAACCAAGATGTCGATGTGTCAGAGCAAGGTGGCTACAGAGCCAGACCCGGAGTGCAGGTCCTCAACCCAGAATCCCCTCTGCCTCCTGCTTGTCCGGCTGCTCCCTGCCACCCATGCCAGGGCCATACTTGGCCTCAGCATGCAGTCTAGTGTCAGCCCCTGCAGCCTGTGTGCCCACCAGAGTGAGGCCCTGGGCATGGAGAGCCGATACCACTGCCTGGCAGCGTGCTGGGTGGGCCAGCACGGGCAGGAGAAACTCCACAGGCAGGGGGATGGGTTACAAGGTTCTTAGAACTTTGCTTCTTTCTTGTATACCTCCCTTCATGCCACCCCCCCAAACCACAAAACCGAAGCTGGGGCTGCCCAGGTCAACAGGGACAAGCACCTGGGAGCAAGCATGCAGAACCAGGCGCAGATTCTCAGGGGTTTGCTGGCCTGTGGGTGGTCCGTCTCCCCCCCCCCATCGCCCTGGTCCACCCTCTCTCTCCCCCCAGCACTCCTCCATCCCATCTGCCCACCACTTTCCTCTCCAGCCCCTAAGAGCATCATAGCCAAGCAGGCAGGAGCTGTACCTTATAAATGAGCCACACTGGTCAAGAGCAAAAGCAAAACACAATTGAACCCAGAGCACAGATGAAGTAGGTTCCCTCTTCCTACACTGGCTGCCTGCAGGCTCTAGATACTTTAGGCACGATCATTGGGGGGGGGGGGAGAGGAGATGGCTTACACCTGTAATCCCAGCTATTTGGGAGGGGGACAGTGGGAGGATCACAGTTGGAGGCCAGCCTCCGCAAAAAGTTATTGAAATTCCCTATCTCAACCAACAAGCTGTGTGTGTGTGGGGGGGGGGGTGCACACCTGTGATTTCCAGCTACCTGAGAAGCAGAGAGAGGAGGATTGGGGGCTGAGACTGGCCTCTAACAAAAATGCAAGAACTAATCTTCAAAAATAAGACAAAAGAAAGGGGGGGGAGTTGTCGAGCAAGAGTGAGGCCTTGAGTTCAAACCCCCCAGTACTACCGAAAAAGACTATTTTCTCATCTGAGGGCAAAGAGGACATTCCGCTCACCCAGATGGCCCCAGCTGATCTGAGATGTGGCTCCTAATCCCTCCTAGCCCATCTCTGACTACACCCGCCTCCAGGCCCTCCCGATTGGCCCACCACATTCTTGTGCCTCCTTGCCCTTGTCTGCTCCATCCCAAACACATCTGGTTATCCTGGCCTGGCTCACTTCTTCCCTCCACACCCCCTTCTCAGGCTGCTTCTCACAAGTGCTCACCAAGCCTGACCAGGGGGTAATGCGGGCTTGGACCCGAGGCCACAGAGAGGTATGTGCAGAGATGGGGTCTGAGCCTCGGCGCTCCACCTGCCTACAAGGCTTGAATTCACTGCGCTTTCTTGGTCAAGGCTGGTGATTTACCACTTAAGCTACCAGTCCTGCTTTTTGCTAGGCTTTGTTTGAACTGACCTCAGCCTCCTCAGTGGTTAGGATTACAAGTGTGGGCCGCTGGTGCCTGGGGTACAGCTGGATCTTTGTTGCTCTCTGGGGAAGGGGGTGTCCCTTGAGGTGAGGGGTCTCATGGCTGTCCTCCGGTGGAGCTGGGATCTGGGGATGATAGCCTTGTACAACCTGCCCTGGCACTGTCATCAAGGCCGGGGAGTCAGGCATGACCTCTGTCTACCTCAGCTCTCACAGGGCCTACAGCAAAGCAGCATGTTGACAGGAAGTCAAGTCCCCTGGGCAGCTGGGTGGCATCTGATCACAGAATGTCATGGAAGAGGGGGCAGGGTGCGTCATTCGTGTGGCTGGACCTAGGGATTCTGCCCCTGTCTCCCGTGGGGGATGCCTGCAGCAGATGGCCTGCCCTGGTCAGCCCGTGGACTGCAGAAGCCCATTGCTCCTGCTCTTCCCCCCATTGCACCCACCTGGTGTCCATCCCCAACTCCCAGGCTCTCCTCTGCGGCCGCTGGCCTTCGCCAGGTCCCATCCTGCCACTGCTATGGAGAGAGCCAGGTGCTGGCCTGGCCCCTCTGTCCTGGAATGCTGAGCTGGGTGTGTGTGGTGCTCTGTGGACTGTGTGCTCACTAAGCTGGGTTAAGCCTGGGGCCCATGAGGGGGGCCCGTGAGGGGAGGCTCCCCAGGGGCCCAGGGAAAGCCGGGCTGACTCAGCCAAGGTCTCTGAATGCGGTCACATTTCCCCTGAGACTCTGTAACAATCCTACCTAGAACCAGACGCTCGTACCCACTCCTCGGCAGGAGAGGTTTGGGCCCATCCAGAGCCCCTAACCTCCCCACCCTCCGTGTGCTGAGTGACTGAGGGGAGTGGGTAGCATGAGTGGAAGGCCCAGGTCTGGGACTCCTGCCGAGATCATGGTTATGGGATTTGTAGGGTCAGCTGTCGTCAGGATGAGGACGAGATTCCAGGCCCCTCCCCTTCTTCCCAGCCCCAGGGCTGCAGCGCCCTGCCTGCCCACTGGGCTTTCCCTTCCAGAAATCCCTGAGCTGGTCAAGGAGGCTGTGAGTGCAATCTGCCCAGGGGAAGCTGAGTCACCCAGGATGCTATGGGCTCCATAGTAATTTCCTCTGGTCACCTTAAGAAGATACAGAGCGTATCTGACCTGGAAACCTCTGCCCAGCTGTACCCCACGAAAGGGGGGGGGCTCTAATCGCTTTTGCTGCTCCTAAGCCTAATCCTTCCAGTGACCTGGCTGTTCCTCAAACATAGGCAGGAGAGCAGGAGTGGGGGGT